GCGATCACTTTTTCGTCCTTCTTCGCCCTCTTCCGCTGCGGCTCGCTGCCGTCGCGCTTCGCGCCCGCCGTCGGTGGCGCGATGGCTCGAACGCGCCGGGCGATGCAGAAGTCAGGGTTCGCTTCGTTCTGCGAGTTCGACCCGTCGATCCACAGCTTCGGCCCGCCTGGGCCCCTCAGCTTCGAGAAGTGGGCACTCACATCTCCTGCGCCGAGGCCGTCTCCGTATACCTCCGCTGCCAAGGCGTCCAGCTTCATCTGGACGCGGTGCAGCAGCTCCCTCCGCCCGAAGAAGTCCAGGCCGTACTTGTCGCACTCGTCCTGAGCCCTCGCCTTGACCAAGACGCTCTCGAGCGCCCTCGCGCCGTCCTTCCTGACCTGCACGCCGTCGGTGGCGCCCCCATCGCCAGCACGAACTGCATCTCCTATGGCTCCTGTGTCTTTGAGCTCAAGTTGCACCTGCATCGCCTGCTCGGCCTGGATGCTGTCCACCAAGAGCTGCAATGCAACCTCCCCGCCCTGCTCGCAATGCCATTGCATCGCCTTCTCTTGCGACGGGCGCAAGCTGCGGCGCACGTCCCTGAGCTTGCTGATCGTCTCCGCGCGCTTCGCGTGAAACACTGCCACCGACGCGTCGACCGTGAACGCGTTGTCCTTCAGCAGATTCTTCACCTCACAGCGGCCCTCCTCGCTCCTCCTCCTCCCCCTCCTCCTCTTCCTCCTCCTCCTCCTTCCCATCTCCCTCCTTCTCCCCACCCTTCTCCTCATCCCCCGCCTCCTCCTCGTCCGCCAACTTCTCCTCCTCCTCATCCGCCTCCCTCTCCTCCTCCACCGACCTTCGACTGCCAGACCGTGCTTCGCGTGCACGTCGCCAGCTCGTCGCGCGCTGCCTGGGGGCCCTTGCCGCACGTGGCCATGCCCAGGTCGCTCGCCTGCTGCGGCAACGCCAGCGAGTGGTCCGCGAACGCGTCGGCGATCTTCTTGTACGTCACGTCGCCCTGCTTGACCTCGAACGCCGCGCGCAGCCGCACGAACGGCATCTGCACCACCTTCGCCTCGTCGTGCAAGACGTGCACCAGCGAGTGCTTCTCCATCATGTCGGCCACGTGCCATCGGATCAGCTGGGGCACGTACGTGATGACAGCGGGGCGGCCATGGGTCGCGGTCGGCTCCACGTTGACCTCCATGCTGCCGAGCTGCGCCAAGCACCCTGGCATCAGCCCAGTCCTGTACGCCGTCAACTGCTGGACTGTGAAGCCACCTGCGATCAACGTCCTGTGCGCGCTGCCCTTGTTCACGTACTCGGCCGTGCCCTCCTCACGGAGCTTCTGGCATGTTTTCAGCACCACGTCCCACGAGAGCGGCATTGCCTCGATCACTTTCTCGATCACTGTATCACCTAAGAGCTTCCACGCCATCTCCTGCGACGTCATTCAGCCGCCGCCGACCGCCAGTTTGCCCAAGACTGACATCATGGTGCCCGTCACAATACTCATGAGCTCCTGGCTCTTGTCGATGTCCTTGCCAAGCTTGCCGATGGCGGTCAGCAGCCCATGGGCCGCGTAGGACTCTGAGTCCACCAGCGTGTCCACTTCCTGCGGGATGATACCGGAACTAGCCTCCTCCTCCTTTCTATTCCCCCCCTTCCCCTCCTACATTCGCCGTCCTGTTCTCTCAGGTTCGCCCCCCCCCCCCCCCCCCCCCCCCCCCCCCCCCCCCCCCCCTCCTCCTCATCGCCCTCCTCTGTCCTCCTCCTCCTCCTCCTCCTCCTCCTCCTCCCCCTCCCCCCTCCTCCTACTCCTCTCCCCCTCACCTGCCTTCCCCTCCTCATAATATTCCTCCTCCTCCTCATCTTCCTACGCGTCATCATCATCATCAGCATCATCATCACCACCATCCTCATCATCATCATCCTCATCGTCACCATCACCATCATCCTCATCATCATCCTCATCATCAGCATCGTCATCATCAGCAGCATCATCATCATCATCATCATCTTCATCATCATCTGTTTCATCAGCAGCATCATCAGCATCAAAATCATAACCATCACCATCATCATCAGCAACAGCATCATCATCATCATAATCATCATCTTCATCATCATCATACCCATCATCATCATCATCCTCATCCTCATCCTAATCTTCACCATCATCATCACCGTCATCGTGATAACACCCCAGCACTCCCGCGACGGCCCGAGGGTCCCAAGAAGACAGGGGGGGCGATGCCCCAAGCGGCCCCAAGGCTGATCCACGTTTCCAAGAGGGCCCCGACCCAAGAGGCCCCCAAGAGACCTCAAGGACATCGGGAAACGTCCTTCCTCTGATTTGTCACAGCGCCGTCGGCGTCGTCGCCACCTGCTGCACCGTTGCGCCGCGCCATCCTCTGGCGTCATCTTGGCGGGCTCAATGGGCCCGGCCTTAATCGGGAGGTGCTCGAACGGGTCATCGCACGGCTCCGACGGCCTGTGCTTCAGCTTCTTGCGCGCCTCTCTGTACGCGACCGCCTCGACGGGGCGAGCGGGAGGGGGAAAGGATGTGAGGGGGTGGCCAAGGCGGCCGATGGGGCTCCCGCGGGACTCCCACGCGCGCCACGGGGACCAATATGGCCCCAAGACGGCTCCAAGACGGTACGACAGCCCGAAGAGGTGTCCCCAACAGGCCTCTTGGATGTCCAGAGAGCCCCTCCTGCCCTATATGTTCTTCGAGAGGTTTCTAGGATGCGTCAGAACTGTATCAAAGAGGTCCTCGAGCACCCCGCGAAATCCCAACGAACGCCCAATGGGCCTCTGGTCTACAGCCCAGAGGGACCATGGTGGCGGTGGCGGAGTGGGCCGAATGCCATATGTGAATACGACACAAGCACACACATATGTATGTATGGGTATATCTAGATGTGCTTTCCCATGTGTACATGCACACATCTCTTGTGTTCGCATGAATGCACGTGCACGTTGTGTACATTTGTAAGATACTGTAGTAGGTTTGGCGGTGTGTGTTGGGGAATTTGGTTGGCACGAGTTCTATGGCCTTGACCTTCTTCGCGAACGTCGTGAAATCCTGCACGTCCACAACCTTGTCCTGCGCGCCGTACAGCGGGACCGAGCCTGAGATCGCACCTTAAAAAAACAGCAACCACACCTGCCTCTGGAGCTCCTTCGAGTCGGCGCTGATGCGAGCGACCTCCCCGATCAAGCTCCGTGCGAACTCGATGAAGCTCCACGTCTCCATGCCAGTCTGCAGCTCCACGACCTCCACGTCCTCGATCGGCTGGCAATCCGCACCGACAAGCTCGGAACCCTTCTTGCGCAGCTTGGCCGCCGACTGTTTCTTCAGCTGATTGCCCATCTTGACCTTCATGGGGTCGGCCTTCGCCGCGCTCTTCTTCCTCCTCCACCGGGGGCACGACTTCGTCACGAGGTTTGCTGCGGCCTTCGCAGCTTCGCTCCTCTTCATATCCTTCTCGGCCTTATCTTTCTTCTTGGCCTCAACCTTGGCCGACTTGGCCGCCGCTTTGGCCTGCCGGCTCTTGACATCCATGTGCAGCTTCGACTCAGGGTCCGCGAGCTGCTTGTGCGCCTCGCTCTCCTTCATGTCCTGCACGAGTCTCTTCACCATCGGCTCCCGAATCTGGTTCCTGAACGCTGGATTCTGCAGGCCTGGGCTTAGTCCTTTGCACTGGCCGATGGGCTTGGCGTCCTGTGGAATTGGCACCACCATGCGGACGCAATCAGCGATCACCTCTGGGTACTCCGCCCTAAGCACCACGAAGCACGCGTTCACCGACTGGAAGATCGTCTCAGTCTTGCGCGCCGCTGGGCGCTGCAAGTCGCACTCGCCGTTCACCACCTTGACCGTCTCATCCCACACCGAGCGCCGATCCTCCACCTCCAGGTCGACACCCTGCCAGTCCCGCTCGATGATGCGAAGCTGCGACAAGCGGTAGAAGCTGCTGCTCACCTTGTAGCTCGTCGGGTTGACCCAACGCCCAGGATGATACGACACGGCAGTCTCGAACTTCAGGCCCAGCAGCTTGTCCCAAGGCAAATCACCCCAACCCATCTGCTTGGCCCGCTGCTTGAAGCGAATCTCTACGTTCTTCGTGGGCCCCCAGATCTGAATGATGGTGATCTCCGTCACCTCGCCGTTCACCGCGTTCTTATACTCCGCGAGGAAGTGCAAGACGTCGTCGGGAGTTGCCCTCGCATACCTTTTGCAGTTCTTCAGCTGGGTTGCGGCCATGAGCTGGACGCACCTGTTCTCCCGCTTCACGTCGGCCTCCCAAGCCCTCTTGCCTGCGTCTGCTAGCAACGCGCCCCAGTCAAGCAGCGCGTACACGCCCTTCTCCTCCTCGGCGAAATCTGGCGACTCACGAAGCCCAAGCAACAGCCCGACCGTCTCCAAGGACTTCTGGCGGGAGGCTACCGACCCCACGTCGCCGCGAAGAGCATTGAAGCGATGCCTCGATGATTCGAGCGAGCTTCGTCGCCCCAAGCACTGGAGACGCGACCTGAGGACGCAAGCCGCCCCCCGCCCGCCAGCGTTGGCTCGGGCGGCAGCTGTCGCCATCATGCCGCATCTCCAGCTTTGTTGGAGCGGCGGAGCATTGCCCGAATCAGCGTCTCTTGGTAGTCCACTTGCCGTCGGCCGAGACCAACGGGATCGTCGCGTCGCTGTCGTCGCAGTAGAACTGCTCGCAGACCACCCTGAACTCCACGAGCGTCAAGTCGGACCCGAACCTGTCCCTGACGTGGGGGTACTTCCCGCTGTTGTCCCAGATGTCGGCGCACCTGGACCTGCACTTCGCCACGAGCCCCGCGACCTCGTCGCTCGACAGCACGGCCCGTGAGATCTGCTGCACGTGGCCGCCGACTGCCACGACCGCCATGGCGCGCGCCACGGCGAGCCCGCCGCCGCAGGCCGAGCACCCCCTCCCCAGGGGCGCCGCGGCACTGGCCCCATGATGGGCCTTGACGAAGAACATGGGAACGTGGGGGTTCGATAAGCTTTCCGAGCTCCAGAAGCCTCCAGGCCCCAGGGCTGGGACGGACCCAAGAGGTGCCCCCAAGAGGGCACACAACAAGCCAGGAGGCGCACTGGTTCTCAGAGCCCCAGAACGGGAGCCCACGGGAGCCCTAAGAGAAGCCCAAGAAGGCCCAGAGCCCCAGGACGGCCGCAAGACGGCGCCAAGAGGGGCCCATTAGGGACCAAGGGGGCCCAGGGGGCCCGACAAGAGCTTAAATGACGCTCCACGAAAGGCTGAAAGGCCCCAAGAGGTGACAGCGCGAGCTTTCTTGCCGCCAAGAGCCCCGGGAATCGGAAGGCCCCAATAATGCGAAAAGAGGGAGCCCAAAAGGGCCGATGGGATTACCAAGGGGGCACCAAGAGAGCCCGAAGCCTGTGGGTGCCTGGGGGTCACAGACCCAAGAGACTGCAAGAACCCCCCCCCCCGCCCCAAAGAGGCGCAACGTGACCCACGAGGTCTGGGCACGGCCCACCTGAAGCTGCCCCGCAACCTCACGCACGTCGCCGACAGGCCGCCCATGCGAGCCCAGCGCCTATACAATAGGTATATGACCCACACTCCAAGCACATGCGACGGATACTTTACAATTGCACACATATACACATACATACACACACCAAACCACGCCCGTCACACATACCAGCAAACAGACAACATCAACAAACAAGAGAGAGAGATGAACAAACAACAACAACAAAAACGAAACACAACAACGATCGCGATCACCGAGAAGCTGGCGCTGCACGACCACCACGACCAGCAGCCAGCAGCCCGTCACCAGCGCAATTGCCTCAGTGGCGGCCCTGGGCCCCCCCACCAAGGCATTTGCGCTGGTGGGGCCTGCCGCGGGCCAGCTGACTGAGGCATTTGCGCTGGGGCCAGCTGACTGAAGCATTTGCGCTGGTGGCGCTTGCCGCGGGCCAGCTGACTGAGGCATTTGCGCTGGTGGGGCCTGCCACGGGCCAGCTGGCTGAGGCATTTGCGCTGGTGGGGCCTGCCGCGGGCCGACTGACTGAGGCAGTTGCGCTGGTGGTCCCCGCCGCGGGCCAGTTGACTGATGCATTTGCGCTGGTAAGGCCTGCCGCTGACCAGCTGACTAAGAGATGTGCGTTGGTGACCAGCGCAAATCTCTTAGTCAGCTGGCCCGCGGCAGGCCTTGCCAGCGCAAATGCATCGGTCAGCTGGCCCGCGGCGGGCCCACCAGCGCAAATGCCTCAGTCAGTCGGCCCGTGGCAGGCCCCACCAGCGCAAATGCCTCAGTCAGCTGGACCGTGGCAGGCCCCACCAGCGCAAATGCCTCAGTCAGCTGGCCCGCGGCAGGCCCCACCAGCGCAAATGCCTCAGTCAGCTGGCCCGCGGCAGGCCCCACCAACGCAAATGCCTCGGTGGAGGGCCCCAGGGCCACCACGGGGGCAATTGCGCTGGTGACGGGCTGCTGGCTGCTGGTCGTGGTGGCCGCGCAGCGCCAGCTTCTCGGTGATCGCGATCATTTGTTGTATGTGTGTGTTTGTTGTGCTTGGTGTGATTTCGTTGTGTTGTTCGTTTTTTGTTGTTTTTTGTTTCCGTATTCTCCTCCTTCTCTTTTGTAATGGTCCTCTCCTCCCTCTCTCACCTGTTGCCGTTTTGTGTTGTCTCTCCCTTCGTCAGCGCATTGTGTATGTGTAATGTGTGTGGGGTACGTGGTGCGCGTCGTTTGTTTATCGTTTGATGTCTATCCTTGTGTGTTGTCATCCCCCTCTCTATATATGGGTGTACCTTATATGTTGAGTTGCGTTGCCGTCTCGGGTCGTGTGTCGGGGTTTTGATCGTTCACGCGCGCTCGCATAATGGATTTCGCTTGTGGGTTGGCCTTGTCGGTTGCTGGGCATGTGCCGCGTCTTTATCTGTCTCTCGTCATAGCTCTCTCCCTCTCGTGCTTGTGCTGGTGCCACCTTGATTCATGTGTATGTGTCATATACAACCTGTTCGTGCAACCTGGTTGGGTGTCATGATTGACGCTTGGTTATCTAGGAGCATGCACTAGTGTGGGTTGTAGTTGCTTCGGTTGCTGGGTGTGTGGCGATGTTGATCGGATGTGCGATGCAAGTGCATCCCCATCCTCAGCCGTGCAGGTTCACACTCGACTGTCGATTGACTCAAGCACGCGCCCTGCCTGGGCGCTTCGGCCCCCTGCACGCAGGGCAAGTAAAGATATCACCCTCCGTGGGTCCGCGATCCCTGCTGAACGCAAGCACGCGCAGTAAATGCCACGGCTGCAAGCACACCCCGCATCGAAACAATCCGTCGCCCGTTGGCAGCGGCTTATCTGGTGGCGCTGCAACTGGGACCGAACCAAACGCCTTGCACATTGCGCAGACGTCTCGGGGCAAGGGCGCTATGGGGCCCCCCCACAAACGCGCATGTGTGGGACTCACCAAAATATGGCACCACACGGGCATGAATGGGGCGCCTTCCGATCGCTTAGCTCTTGCCAAAATTATCGGGATGTGGGGGGCCACACACTCAAGGCCTGCTACAGACTCTGGCCTCACACGGGCATGCACGATTGCTTTGACTTGGCCGCTCGGCCAAAGTGAGACCTGGCGACCCATCGACTCCCGAACGCTAGTCCACTGGATGTACATGCATCGGTCGTTCACACGGATCAGGGACACGCCACCGTTCACAGGCTCAGACAGAGGTTGCTCCGCAGCTTCGCGGAGCGCATCAGCGATGGCAGTGGCCCCGTCGTTGCACCCCTGATGGGACAGACGCATGACGGACACAGCAACGCCTGCATAGCCTACGCAGCGACTCAAAGAACTCCCCGCGCCGCCCCACTCAGAAACCCTTGGAAATGACACACCTTGTTCGGGGGGGGGGGGGGTGGCTGCAAGGTCCCCAGGGCGCACTCCAGGATGCCCGAGCTGGACGCAATGCCCCCCGAAACACTTGCGCATCATTTTCCTCCTCCTCATCCTCCTCATCCTCTTCCTCCTCCTCCTCGTCCTCCTCCTCCTGAGGAAGAGGAAGAGCGACGAACCGTAACTCACCCTCGCCTCCTCCTCCTCCTCCTCATATTCTCCTCGATGCCACCTCTCGGATCACTGCAAGAACCCGCCTCCGATCCACGCTGCTGGCTGACTCCAGCGGGTGTTGTGCGAGGCGAGACTCCAGAATGCGGTCTGCGTGGATGCAGTCACCATGGTCGGGCACATCGGGCCCGTCGCCATCCTCGCTGCCACTGTCCAACTGAATATCGTCGCCCCGCCTGCGGCTCGACAGGAGCTTAAGCCCTTAAGCCGCTTGCAGCAGCCCCCGCCCCCCACCCCGAGACGGCGCCTAACTCCGACAGACGCTGCATGGCACAACATGCCGCATAGCATAGCAATGCATACGATGCGAGCTGGGTCGGGGCCAGGGGCAATTGCGCGGTCTCTGAAAGGGCCACGCGCCTCGCACCACCACCTGCATCTACGTCGCCGCCGTCGCCGCCGTCGGCAGCAGGCGGCTCGCCGAAGCCGCCCTTCTCCAGGAGTGTCTCCAAGTAATCCCCGAGCCAATCACCAGGGTCGCCGCCGTCGCCGTCGTCGTCGTCAACGTCGCCCTGATCCCCCTCGCCAAGGTCGTCTTGGCGGGGCACGTCAACCTTGCCATGCAAGCACGAACGAACTAAACCAACCTTGTGGTGTGTTGTTACTGTGGATGTCATAGGTACGCAAGCCTCGGCCTTGTGGGAGAAATCCAGAGTCTCACGATCGGTGGGCGGCCGCCTCGCGACGAGGGAGCGCGCCAGCGTCTGGCCCCTCAAAGACGCAGCCGTAACCACATAGACCTTTACCTCTTAGACACACAACACTGCGCCTCGCCGAGAGCCTCTCGATCGGACTTACTGTTCCCATGTTTGGCACGTGGGCCCACGAATCCTCGCCGTCGGCGGCGGCGCCGCCGGCGTCCTCGATGGCGGGCGCGCCGGGGTCAGCCCCTCGAGCCCGTTTGGGCTTGCTCTTGTTGGACCTCTTGGAGATCTGCACTTCGATCGCCTCCACGTCACTGAGCGAAAGCCACGCCCGAGGAACGTCAAACCACAGAAGCCGACACTTGTAAATCATAACAATCGACAAAGCCTTGCGCTTGCGCTTGCTCCCGTGCTCAACCTCCGCTGGAACCAGCGCCCCAGCTGCCTCGCCGACTGCCCTGGAGTAAGCATCGGCAAGGAGATCAGACATGAAGACTGGCGAGATGGGGCGATCCACAACCAACTCCAGCTGGCCCCCAGGACCACGGCGGGCCGTCGTCGCAGCGGCGACAGTGATGCCGTTGCGTTTGTACGCGGCTGGAACCAGAAAACAACGGTCGGCCATCCCTGGATCGAGCGAATACGCCACGGCCGCCCCGCGCTGCAACAACCTGTATGCAGCGTGAGCTAGACCAAGACCAATCGCAGCCCGTTCAAG